GTGTGTGTGTGTGTGTGTGTGTGTGTGTGTGTGTGTGTGTGTGTGTGTGTTTAAACATTTATTATTTTGTGTGACAGAGGATGGGGTAGGCATTGTGGCAGTCGGGACAACTTGTGGGAGTCAGATCTTCTTTTCCTATGTGGGATCCAGGAATTGAACTCAGACCATGGGGCTTGCCAGTGGCTTTGTCCGCAGAGCCATCTTCCTGGCCTGGGTTCTTTTTAAACTGACACATAGTAGTCCACATTTGTGGGTTCACTGTGATAGTTCAGTAGTGCATTCTGTGGTGATTCCATCTTGGGAATTAGTGCGTTGCCTCATACACTTACCGTTTGTGGTGAGACCATTAAAACTCTCAGATCTGCGCCATGCCACTGCTAACTGCTGCTGTGCAGGAGCCCTCGGGGCACACTGCTCCTGCCTGCTGTGTCTTCATACCTGGGGCCCACACCTCCCCTGCTCCCCATCCTGCTCAAAACCCGTTGCTTTCTTCTGACCCGGTCAGCTGTTTCAGGACCCACATGAGTGAGCTCATTATGACGGTTGTCCTGCTGGGCCAGTGTCTGTCCTTAGGTCCGTCCACATCACAGATGAAAAGAGTCCCTCTTCCTTTTTAGAGAAGGGCTATGTAGTCCAGGCTGGTCTTGAGCTCACTGAGGACGATTTGGAACTTTTAATCCCACCCTGACTGAGATTTGGGTTGAAAGGTAGTCTGCGTAAATACAGAGTGCTTTCACCTGGGCTGAAGACGCAGGCGGCACATTCGGCTGCTGGAAGCGTCTAGATGGCCATCTTGTAATTGATCTACTCCAAACCCCGGTGTGCAAGATGAGAGTGGCCAAACAGCTTGTGACCCAGCTTCCCCTTACTCTTCCCTTCCGGACCATTGGGGATCAGTGCCAGGAGGCGTCGTGCCTGGTGGGGTCATTTCTCACCATAGGGTCTCCGTGTGTCTTTTGAGACACACACTCTCCCTGGCCTGGAGCAAGCTGCCTAGGCAAGGCTGGCCGGCGCACAAGGCCCCAGGGACTGCCATCTCAACTGGCCTGGCTCCGGGACTACAAGCGAGCTCCCCAGCTGTGCCTGTCTACATTCTCAGTCCTGGGGATTACTCGGAGCCTCACGTCCTGTACCTCACGTCCTGCCCCTCACTTCCTGCTCCTCACGTTGGCTCCAGTTCCTGGCTTTGGTGCACACACAGCTCTTTGATGCCGATTCCATCTTCCCTGGGTACATTGACAGATCACATATTTCTCTTCTTTCTTCATGTTGTTGTTTTTATGTTTTGAGACAGGGTTTTATGTACCTCAGGCTGGCCTTCTTGTGTAGGGAGGGTGGCCCTCATGATAGAGCCGCCTCCCCAACCCCTGCTTTTCCTATTTTGATGTAGATATTTGCTGTTGGGAACTCCTTTTTGAAGCTGGGTCACAGGCGTCCAGGCTGGCCTTGCTGGCCTTGCCATCTCACAGTCCTTGGCTTTCTGGTTGCTTGGGTTACAGAGCTGGGCCAGCACACTTGACTTTACACTGACTTCTATTCCTCCCATTTAGGGTTTGCAGAGGCCAGAGTTTGTTCCCCAGCCCTTACGCAGCACAGCTCACATCGCCTGTAGCTAACTCTGGGAGAGGCAGCGCCCCCTCCTGGCCTTTGCATGCATCTCTCCCACTTAAATTAACTTAAATTTTGCAAGTCGATGTTTTGTGACACAGTAATGCAGTATTCTGAATTTCATCATGAATTTACCCTTCCCAGAGAGTTATCCTGTGTGTGTGTCATAATCACCCCTGTGTTCGAGGCTGAAACAGTTCCATTTCTGTTTCTTACCAATGATGAAGACTCCCAGCTTTGCTCGTCACCAGAGGATTGTTCATCATCTTTATTTCTGAGAAGCCGTGTCACGGAGGATAGTGTTCTTGACTGTGGTGCTCTGCCAGCAGGAGTTCGCTGTCCTGTCTTGTTCCTTTATGCCTTGGCCTTCCAGGTTTCTACTGGGGAATCAGTGACCTAGCTTTGTTTTTTCCTTTGTGGTTTTAGGTGTCTCTCTTCCTCCCTCTCCCCTTTTCTTCATCTTTCTCTTCCCTCTCTCTTTTCTGTCTGTCCATCCATCCTTCCGTCTGGGTCTCTATCTCTGCTCTGGACAGCTTGCCTACAATGTTTGACAGAGCAATTTCTTTGGAGTGACTAGAACTTGAGTCCATGCTCAGCCCTTACTCAGTGGTTTTTAGTTATTTTAAGAAATCATGTTCCCTGTGTTTCCTTCATCGCCTTTCCTCTGATCTCTCCTGTGTGGACCTTCTCTTGCTGGCTTTGCATAGATGCTAGAGGCTTTCCTTGTAGCTTTGGCTTGGCTACAGATGGCTTACTTCAGTAACCCCAACGTCAACCCTAACCCAACGCTGCTTGGTCTTGTCTGCTGTTGCCTTTCCAGTTGTATTTCTGATTTATCTCTCACCCCTCACCACTGAGAATGTCTCTCTGTGTAGCCTGGTTGTCTGGAACTCACTCAGTAGACCAGGCTGGCCCTTGAACTTGCAGAGACTGCCTGTGTCTTCCTCCCCAATGCCACACCCAACTCGTCTCTCAGTTCTCAGGGACTGAGCCCGTTCTTCAGAGCTTCTCTTCTCAGTTCTCAGGGACTGAGCCTGTTCT